AAAATCGACTTCGGGTTATGTCTTTACTCTGGGAGGTGGTTCCATCGTTTGGAGGAGTGTCAAGCAAGCTTGCACTTCTGACTCAACGATGGAAGCCGAGTATGTGGCAGCTAGTGATGCTTCAAAAGAAGCAGTGTGGCTCCATAAATTTCTAATGAATCTTGAAGTAGTTCCTGGTGTGGATAAGCCATTGAGACTGTACTGTGATAACAATGCGACAATAGCTAACACCAAAAAACCAAGATATCAGAAAATGAGTAAGCACATAGACATGAAGTATCACATGATAAGGAGCTTTATTGAAGAAGGGCAAGTGGAAATATGCAAGGTTGTGTCGGAGGACAATATGGCTGACCCGTTCACGAAGGTCCTGCCGGCTAAGGCCTTTGAGAAGCATGTCGAGGCAATGGGGATGTGTAGCATGTCACATTTACTTACTTAAGTGCAAGTGGGAGATTGTTAGCGTTTATGCCCTTAGGAATAAATGTAACAATGTTCTTTAAGACATTTTGACTATTAATAAAGATTTATTTATTTCATATATCGATGTATTGTCCTCTTTATGTTCATATTAGTTGAATGTATGATAAGCAAACTGAAAGTCTGAGACTGTCATTCTAAATCTTTAGGTCATGCATGTAATGAGAAGAACATGCGGAAGACAGGAATCTAAAGATGATAGTCTAAATCATATGATCCATAATCGAGGGAATAAAGTTGGACACTTTATTCATTTTAAGATTGTTATCTTTTCAACTTCCTAACGAAGACGGTTTGTCTTGGTCGTCGGAGGTGGGACTCCATGGGTAGAGACATTGATATAGTTTCTAATAGTGAAATCTATATTGGATCGGACCAAAGTTGAATTGTTTTAATTAATAATTCTGTTTGAATAAAACAATTCACTTTTGACGAATTATATGTTGTCATCTTAATCCTGAGATGGATAATGAACCCGTATACTTGACTTGTATCTTTTGATGTACCAAAGGGAGACATCCTGACATTATGTAAAGGTACGCTTACCGGTACATTGAGGGTATGACTCGTGTATGCATAGATTCGTTATTCATAGATAGTGGAATCCATAGCTCCTACAAAGAGTCAATGATATCCTCTTATGCATTATCTGTGGATTAGAAAATACGAGCGCTCGACCATTAAACTACTTTGTGTTATCTAATGGTTTACTATTTGTAATGGTACGAATAGTGGTTTTCTGATGGTGTGATAATGGAACAAAAGATAAATGTAATCAGGAAGGTAAAACAAAACTTAACCTCAAGTCGATTATGGATATCGTATGGGGATGATACAATAATATATTGAGTCATGGACGAGAGCTATTCAAAGCTTTGTAAATACGCTATATAAATCGAGAGTGTAACTCTAGGTTTTTAGTGAGTAGCGCTAGAGTTTTATAATCATGAGATGGATTTGTTGGTTTACAAGTAACGTTGTGATTATAGGAGCTTGATTTGTATATGTCCATCGGGTTCCTTTGCTAGCTCACATAATTTCTTGTAACGATACGATGTATTTCCTACATATTGGTAACTTGTGTTATTTCCGTAAAAGATGTTCAAAGCTAATATGAGATTGGTTAATTCATGAGTGATTTATCGAGTGAATTAATTGATAAATTAATTCTAGATAAATTGGTTGAATTATTATTTTAAGAGTTTTTTAACATGAAAAGACTATTATATGACTATTTTGATCAGACAACTTATCTATTGGGTTGCTTGAATCAAAATTGAGGCTCTATGCAAGTTTTCGGTGTTGGAAAACTAGGAAAACAAGTTTCGCTAGTTTAGACAGGTCCACCGGTCGGGTAGACCGGTTCATGAAGATAGGTCGACCGGTGAGTTATAATGTCTCTGTCACCGGTCGACCAGTTGTAACATGTAGCGCGTCCTGAGGTGGCGAAACTGACTCTATAAGCGAGATAAACTTTAGGAAACCTAATTGTTACGGAACTATGACTTCCTAAACACTATAAATAACCTATTAAGTCACATTATTCATTAGATCACTTGAGAGACTTTTTGGAGGCTATTGACAATCATGAGAGGAAAATTTGTTTAATTCTCAAGAATAATTTTTCCTTTGGCTCTCTTGTGGTTGGAAGGAGTTCAAGCATACCAAGAGGAGATTGAACGACGTGTGTCCACCCGCACTCCGATCGTGAAAACGAGAATAGTAAAGAATACCAGTTGGTTGAGGCTCTTCCGGTTGTTATTTGGAACGCTTTGATCTGTCAGATGTGTAGTTTCCTAAATCTCAAAAGGTATGATTTATATCTTTAGTATTTATGTTATATAGCATCATGAACATGTTCTTGATTGGCTTTGACATTAATTTAAATTTTTAAAATTCCACTGCGCACTCGATGCCGTATTTTCTAACACATTAATAATAAAAATTAATCGAGTTATAGGTGGAATCAAGCAATGATTGATCGTTAGTCAATCAATGATAGACCTCTAAGTTAATTAAAGCGGCCATTTTTGTAATTTTATAAAACTTTGGTCATTTATGAAAAAATCCTTCAAAAAGGACTATTTATGTTGAAATCTTTTTTTTAAATTACATGCATGATCTAAAGGCTTAGAACGACAATTTCAAATTTGTAATTTAATTATCATATATTTAACAAATATGAACATATAGAAGATAATACATAAATATATGAAGTAAATGATCTTTACTAATATTGTAAGAGCATTGTTACATTTATTTCTAAAAGAATAAACTCTTACACCCACTAGGAAGGTTTGGATTATACTAGGAAAAAAAAAAAAAAAAAAAAGGAACATGGCCCCACTAAATTCGAAGGTATATGCCCCCATTAAATTTGAAGGTTAGCTTTAGCTTTGTTTTCAGCTATTTAACCAATAACAAGAGCCAAATGGAGTCAGTAATATTTTTGGTCCTTCGTTAACTGTTAAATATTTGACGACATTTATAGAAATTAGAAATCAAAATTTAAAAACATCTACACTTTAGAGACTAAAATAATATAAAAAAAATAAAAGTTAATTCCACATATAGTTATAGTTGTTCCAATTTTGGTCTCTACTTTACACATATTTCAGTAAATATTTAACACTTAGTTAACAGAATAATTAAAAATGAAACAAAGTAAAACCTCAAGAACTACTGTGAGATACTTTAAAAGTCAATAATCAAAGTGGAATTGAGAATAAATCTCAATGACTATTTGTGAAATTAACCTTTAGGTTTATTTTCAGTTGTGTCGTGTGCAAATGAATTTGTGATTTTAGTCTACTTTTGAGTTGTATATTTCAAAATAATGTTAGGGATACTAACTTAAATTCTAACTATTATATATTAACTGATGTGACATATAAGTTATCAATTTTATATAGTTGGGTGTTTAAAACAATGTCACGTTAATTAATGATAAAATATTTCATCTATCAATAAAAAGATAACAACTAACGTGCCATGTTAGTTGGTACACGAATTGAAATTTGAGTTAATGTCTCTAACATTACTTTATTTTTAATCTAATTTGAGATTTATTTTTGATAAAAATCAATTTAAAAATTAAATTCTTTGGACATGGCCACTGATCAAAAATCAATCTACAAATTGAATTGGATCAGTTAGTATATTGAGTGTGAATTGAATTGAATAATGTGCGGATCAGTTGTAATTTAAGCTAAAATATGTTTTTATTAGATTGAATGAACACGCTTACCTTACGTTGTGCAAAACCATTAGAAATTAAGGGGTTGTTCTTTTGTCCAAAAAACTTAAAAAAAGACGATTCGAGTTCCAACTTTATTCAAGTTCATGTTCTTTTAAGTTCCAACTTTATTCAACTTTACTCAACTTTATTCAAATTACAACTTCAACTCAAGTTATAACTTAAATTCAACTCAAAAATTACACTCAAATTACACTCCAAAAGAACAACCCCTTAGTAGCTCTATTCACATCCTTTTCAAGACTTCGGGGTACTTTCAATGAAAAAAAGATGGAGGCCCAAGCCACAAGTTTGTATATAGTTCGGGGAGTCCCCGGACGTGTAATTTTCCGCTTAAAACTTTCAAAACAATAAGGATATGCTTGAAATCCAAATACATTAGGGCCTGCTTATTTTATAGACTCACTGATTTAATTTAAACAATATTTTCTCTCATAAAAAATTTTACTACAATGTTTTTCCCCTGAAATTTTGTTCAAACCACTATTTTAAATCTATCTTCTAAACAGACACCTATATTCCACTATCTACCCCTAAATCCCTCAACCTCGGTCCTTGCCCCTGCAGGACTATGGGCCGCGTTCAACTAATAATCAAGTAATCATGATAAATATCTCTTAAAAGTGTATGAGTCATGATTTTTATCATTTAATTTTAATTTATAACATTTTTAGTCAAATAATTACATTAATAAAAGAATATTTATCAAGAGTAAAGAATAAGGGTTCATTTGGTATGAAGATTCAAACCATGGTTATTCTAATCATGATTCTGGAACCAGAAACATAAATCATGATTTTGAGTTCAAATCATGATTTTGAAATAGTGATTTAGAATCATGTGTTTGAATCACCTTGAATCAAGAGGAGAGGTGATTTTATAATCATGATTTGAGTTAATTTAAAACATCACATCAATTTTGAATTATAATTCAGAATTATTTAAACCAAATACTGATTCAGAATCACACTGTAAACGCACTCTAAGTCCAGAACTCTAAACGTAAATTCTGGTCCCGTTTATTTCACCTATTCGAGTTTAGAATTTGAGTTTTGCTAAAATAAAAAGTTCTAATAAATAGTCACATTTAATTTTTTTATTACAGTAAAAAACTCTTATATAAAATCACATTTTAACTCAAATTAAAACTCGAATCAGAAAATTAAACGGACCTCTCCAAGTTTTTAAACCCAAACTCTCTCGCCCTAAATGAAGCCCATGTAGAAACAAGGCCCGTCTGCTTCCCGTCAATATCTCTTGAGCTTGATTAGGGTTCGCCAACACTCTGAGTTTCTTCTCTCACGCCTCCTGTGCAAAACTCCCATCGCGCGGCACAATCTCTTCATTCAAAGCCTCCAATCATGGCCGAGCAGGTTCCTCCTCCTCTCTCTCTCTCTCTCTCTCTCTCTCTCTCTCTCTCTCTCTCTCTCTCTCTCTCTCTCTCTCTCTCTCTCTCTCTCTCTCTCTCTCTCTCTCTCTCTCTCTCTCTCTCTCTCTCTCTCTCTCTCTCTCTCTCTCTCTCTCTCTCTCTCTCTCTCTCTCTCTCTCTCTCTCTCTCTCTCTCTCTCTCTCTCTCTCTCTCTCTCTCTCTCTCTAGAGCTTCCTTCTGAATCTGCTAAGCCCACCCTTGCTTTTTGCAGACGGAGAAGGCTTTTCTTAAGCAGCCCAAAGTGTTCTTATGGTAGTTCGAAAAACCCTAACTTTCATTTTCTTCGTGTTAATTTGACTGTGTTTTTTATTCTTATTTTTTTGTTCTCTCTTTGAATCGACTCTCAGCTCCAAGAAATCTTCGAAGGGGAAGAGACCTGGAAAGGGTGGAAATCGTTTCTGGAAGAACGTTGGATTGGGTTTCAAGACCCCCAGGGAAGCCATTGAAGGTATTTTTGTGTGTTCTAATTCGCAATTTCTGTCTGTATTTGTACATATTTTATCCCTTTGTGTATTGTAGATCACTGAAAAGTGTAGTATTGGATAAATATTTTCTAGAGTTTTTGTTTCACCACTAATTATTTTATCACATACAAGCTTTGGTGGAATGAAATGAGTGAGGAATCTATATGAAGAAATTATTATTAACCATTGGTAGCTCTATTGGCATGTCCCTAGTTTAGTGATTTTCTTGTTTTGTTTACTTCTTTACATTGTAGCTATTCAGCATTGGTAGTTTAAAAAAAAACAAAAATTGGAATTGTTGAATTTGCTGATTTGGGATTTTTTTTTTCTGTCAGGAACTTATATTGATAAGAAGTGCCCCTTCACTGGAACTGTTTCGATTAGGGGCCGTATTTTGGCAGGCACTTGCCACAGTGCTAAGATGATCAGGACCATCATTGTTCGCCGGAATTACCTTCATTTCGTCAAGAAATACCAAATTTTATTTTTTGTTATAAAATTTTAGCTTCATTTGTGCTTTGACGTCTAAGTGAAATTTACTTGCTGCTCGAGAATTTCTATATTTCATCTCATATCTTGTGGACTTCCCAGTTGGAAAATTACATATAAGCACACTGGGGTCGTTTGTTTGCTTGTGATATGATGATTCCTTTTGACATGTTAAAGTAGGAACTGATGAATGCATCACAAGTGTTTAACGCTCGTCTTGGATATTGATTATAACGTTGAACTTGCATAAACAAACACCCCAGATTTACGTATTAGTCTCTATTTGTTTAGTTGTTTTTTTTCTTCTTTTTTTTGGTTTTTTGCTTGAAATCTCTAATTTGTTTTTGTTATGTATTCTTATTATTGCTCGGATCTACTGCTTCATCTAGGAGTTTGTGTAGCAGCTTTCCACTCTACCATTCTCGTAATACACACGCACCATCAGTAGCTTACTATTGCATATATTTTTTGCTGGTATACCATGATAAGCTCAGTATAGCATATACTTAGATCAAGGCTTTTTTTTTTTTTTTTTTTTTTTTCCCTGATGAATGAAAGATGGTTTGCCTTGTTTTCGATCATTTTGTTGGTTTCAAGAGTAATCATGAGCAATATTTCACTTAGGTATTGTTTGGTGTAAGGGTTCTGAACCCAAAATCATGATTTTGATTTAAAATCAGTGTTTGTTTATAAAAAGTAGAAAGTGGTTTTGATTTGACTCACTCAGAATTAATGTTTAGTTGAGATGGTTCTGATTTAAGATTTAAATTTTGATGTGATAGTTTTAAATTATAGATCACCTCTAATTTTAAAATCACTCCCTTTTTGTTTTGGGTGGATCAAACTCTTGGTTTTGGTTCTGGTTTTATAATTATGATTTGGACTCCAAATTATGAATTATGGTTTTGGTTTCAAAATCAAAATTAGAATCACTTTGGTTTGAACTCTCATATTAAACGAACTTTAGTTTAGTTGCCACTCGGCTTAGCTTCAATTCATTATTTTATTTTAGGCTTAATGACTAGTGTTGAAACTTTGGGCCAGCTGCCTGAAGCCTGAATTTTTTAGGCTTGACGGGTAGGCTTATATGGCCGCCCGTCCAAGTAGGTTTTCAGGCTCAGGCTCGGGCTACCAAAGAAAGGTCGGAATCATCGATGCCCGCCGCCGAACAAAAGGCTTCAACCGTCGATCGCCAAAATTTTTTCTTATTTTTTTCCCTTCGGCCTGAATTGTCTGAAGGCAGATTAGCGGCTAGTTTTTTTAACATTGGCGCCCGACCCAACTTGCCGCCTGAAAGCCTGTTTCCAACGGTTCTTTTTTTACCATTGCCCGATTTTTTACCTGAATCCGCCGAACCCGACCTGTCGAGACAAAAAATGACTGTTGGATCTGAATATAGGGGAAAAAATTAATTTTTTAACCCAAAAATTTCTTTATAAATATTCTTCATCTCGCACACATTTTTCTCACCCAAACTCTCTCAATCTCTCTGAATTTCTCTCAATCTCTCAAATCTCTCACACTTTTTTCAAAAACTATCACAATATCTTAAAGCTCTCTCTCTCAAATCGCTCTTATTTTTTATAATTGATTCTTTTAGTTATGGTGGTATTCTTGTTGATGCCCAACAATACGTAGAGGAAGGACAATTTTCTACTAATGAATTTATTACGCAGGAATCGCAAATGCAGCCAACTGAGGAACTTACAAATCCGAGCCGTGGTGGACGTACTGGAGGTCATGGTCGCAATGGTAGTGGGGGTGGAGGAGAGGCGAGTGCAAGTGCTACTGCATTTGCAAGTGTTGCAACCTTTAAGAGGAAATGCAAGCGCACCTCGACAGTTTGGAATCACTTCGACACAATTGAGGAGGTCGACAATGACGATAACACTATACACATCTCAATGTAAATATTGCTATTCTAAATTACAAGGTGACTATTCACGGCACAACACACTTGAGAAGTCACTCTGAAAAGTGTCTTCAAAAGTTTGGCCAAACCAGCAGAGCCGAATTCCGCAAAATACAATTATCTTTTGATTGCACAACCGGTGGTCTAACCAATTGGAAATACGATCTGCAAGTAGATCGTATGGATGTTGTACGAATGATAGCTGCATTAGATCAACTACTTAATTTTGGAGAACATCCTAATTGACAGCGATATATTAAAGTTGTACATAATCTTAATGCACAGTTTTTTTTTTTTTTTTCAAAAACTACTCTTAGGAAAGATTTGTTAAAATTATTTAAACAAGAAAAAGAAGCATTAATAAACCTTTTACACTATACTAGCAGTTGCGTTGCATTAACAACAGACATTTGGTCTGCCGTTGCCAATAAAGATTATTTATCTGTAACCGGACATTTCTTTAAAGGCTTCAATTTAGATAAAAGAATATTATGTTTTAAATGTGTTCTAGGATCACATAGCCCCGATTTAATATATAATACAATTTTAAATGTAATTGATGAATATAGATTAAGAGATAAAGTGATAGCTATAACACTAGATAATGCTAGTGCAAATACTAAAGTAATTGAATATTTTGAAAGTGATTTAAGTTTATTCGGTTATGGTACTATTTTCACTAACATTGTGCATGTCATGTAGTTAATTTAGTAGTTAAATTCGGTATCAATGGCTGCTCACATTAAAAGAATTAGTGATAGTATTGCATAGATTCAATGTAGTAACTAAAAAAATTTTAAAAATATTTCTATAGAAAAGAAATTTTAAAAATATTGGTCTAAATTACCAATGTTGTATGGTTTTGGTACTATTTTTTATCATAGATTAAATTTAGACGGTTTAGAAAGTGATTTAGAAAACTCAGGTGAATTTTTAAGCATCAATTGTTCTCACCAATTTCTGACAATAAAGGCAAAAATATTCTCTCTATAGTAAATATGAGAATAGGTTTAGAAACACAAATTCTGAAGTACATGAACCGCAACAAAGAGATGAAAACCCGCATTCATTCTTGAATGTTTTTTAGTTGAAGAAGAAGAAGAAGACGACTCAAACAGAAGCTGGAAGTGGAACTTCATCAACAGGCGGTGGCGGCGGCGGTGGCTTCAACAAGCTTATGGCGTACCTCAGTGAGAGCTTAGTAGTCGACGACAGTGGAGATTTGTTCGATTTAGTTCAATGGTGGAGGGCATGAGCATTAACTTGGCCAGTCCTAACTTGATTAGCAATGAATGTTTTTTATCCCAGTCTCCACTGTTTCATCCGAACAAGCCTTCAGTACTACCAGACGAATACTTGAGGAACGCCGAAACGCATTGCAAAGGGACATTGTTGAAGCCTTGGTCTGCATTAAGGATTGAGATCGTGTCGTTCAATGTTTACAGGATACAATTTCATCGGCAAGTCAAGAATGTATCGATGAATTTAATAGATTAACATTTAATTTTGAAAACGATCCTTCAACTTCAAATTAAATTGTAATTTGTAAATATCTATTTGCTTTCGACATTGTAATTGTATAGTTAGATTTTGTAAGTTTGTAAAATTTCTAATTCATCAAAAAATGATTGCACTCTTTTTTCCTTACCAAGTTTTTATCCTAATTGAGTTTTTTTTTAGTAAGGTTTTTAACGAGACAATCATGAATTACAAATTTAAAAATTAATATACAAAATTAATTTATTAAATTGTGTTAATAGTGTGTGTTGATTTTAGTTTTTATATAATTTTAACATAAAATAACTTAATAATTATTTATATACAAATACAATTACTAAATAATAGCATATTATATAT